TGCAACCTTGATCAACGCCACTTAGCTAGAGAGTATCAATCTTTCGCATACGTCGGCATGTTACACAAATTCTAGGGCCATTTGGTTCAGTCGTTTTTTTTTAGTGATTTCGGAACAGGAATTTCGGCCTTTTCTTTCCTTTTATAAAGTCCCACTTCCTTATTTTCATTGCCTTTCTCCAGGGGTCAAACGCCGGAGCTTGCGGACAGAAATTTTCTAATGAACGCGAAGAAGTTAGCGCTCTATGGCGTCCATATGCACAAAGTGACGGTGAGTGGTTTGTGTTATCGGCCCTACGTGCGTCGTCACTGTCATTTACTTCTTTTTTAGAATTTATTTTTAACTGCATAACTAAGCCTGTCTGTCTCGACATCATAAGGTTAATAGTGTTTTCTCATATTCGGAAGAGTGGTTTCATACCTGTTCGCCCTCCTCCCTCGATCATCTTCGTTTTCCCATATATACTGTTCATTCATAACCGTACTGTTTTTTTAAGGCAAGCGAACGCACCAGGATTTATTTCTGCAAATAAATTTCGGAATAGCTTGTCAACTACCTTATGTCATTGCATGCATAAGATAGCAAATAGAGAAGACAGCAGTTTTAATTTTCGCGTAATTTAATAACAGCAAGGTCATTTTTCCAAAAACGGCGATTACTCACCACTAATGTCGCCTTTAACCTTGGGAAGGAAAAGTAGAGAGGGGAATTAACCAGAAAAAGTTAAGTCAGGGCATGCGATTACCAGAGCAGTTGGAGATTAGCCACATGGTGTAACTGCTTACATAGGTCGGGTTTCTGCCGCCGTATATAGGCTGCTTCCATGTAGCGCAAGGTCCGATTTGTTCGTGCTTTAGCAAAAACTCAGAAAGATTTATTGAGGTCAACAGAGTGACCACTTAGCAGAATTTATTCGCGCGAATAAATTTCGAGAGCGCTTTTCAGCTGCTTCCGCTCCGTGCATGAATAACGAAATATTTAGAGAACACAGCAATTTGAATTTACACACAATCGATAAAAAGCAAGGTTGTGTCAACGTGGCAAGTGGTCAATAATTATGTCAACTGTTAAACTTGGGACTAAAAGTAGGGAGGGGATTTAACAAAATAAAAGTGTGGTATGTATTTACCACGGCAATTGAAGATTGCTACATGGTCTAGTTGCTTACATAGGTCGGGTTTCCCCCCCCGTATGTAGGATGCTTCCATATAACGTAAGGTCCGGTTTGTTCGTGCTCGAACAAGAGCGCGGAAAGATGTGTTAGTGTCACCCGAGTGACCACTGTCTAGTAAGTGTTTCGTAATAGATGAGCGTGGTAATTTGTTCTCCCGTTTTAAAAGCCAAGTAGGCAAATGTTCAGCAGCTCTGGTTGCCAATTGCCT